ACACTTTACTTCCAATTGATATACAGATGTAAAATAGCAGAAGTCGGGAGTAATTCAAAAGAACAGATCTCTTAGGAACTTACAACATTGGTTTGAACAATCCCAGGAGAGACGCATATAATGTTTATGCCAGCTTCAGTTGGCAGCCTCTTGTGAAGTATGCTACTAAACATGATCTGCAATTTCAACACCAGAAACAACCATAAGATTTTGATGCTTGCAAGCATAACCTGGAATGCTTGAATCAGGATTTATGACGAGTTTATGCATGTAGCCACGCTTACAATCTAGATTCCTATGGTAGCATCAGTAAAGGGACACAATCAACAATAATATAATATATTAATAGCATAAAATTTTACAGCCAGAACAAGCTTTAGATATGGAAATTCATTGAGAAGTCTTGAGAAAAACATGATTTGCACTAAACAGCATACTTCGGAACATCCTTTCCAGCAAAAGACAATGCTCATAAGTCATAAGGGTTAAAAACATGATAGAGCCAAAAGCTTATCAGTGTGCAGTTGCAGAGAGATATTTTCGGTATGGGCATACAGGTCTACTATTATAGTAATATAGTACAAAACAATTTATAGATGCTTGTATAATACTTATAATAACCTGAGAAGTATGTGCATACAGATTATTTATTAAAGCTTTCATGAGATCTATACCAACTCGATACATTTCTAGAAGAAAAAAAAAGATGATAGCTTGTACTACCTCTCCTTTTGTCAATCAAGTAAATCTAAACGTCACTTTTTATTTTATTTCAGATCTTCAGCTTTCCCCATATTGACAGTGAAGACATAAGCAAGAGGAACAAAAAGTGAAAAGAATCAGATTTCGAAACTCGTGCCTGTGCAAGTTTACTGCCCGAGTATCCGACTAAACTGGTGTACTTTCTCTTACCAGACACAACATTCATATCTTCTGTATCAACAAATCCGACATAGTGCATCTGAATTAAAAAAAAGGTTCATTTAGATTTGATCAGCTTAAGGGTTAAGAAGGATAGGAAAGCAAAAAGTAGGCATGAGATAAAGACCTTCAAATTTTTATCACATTTTGCATCACTATGAAACTAAAGACTTTCAAGTTAACAATTTCAGTCTTTCCAAGTAATAAGACAAACATCTGGTCTAAAGGGTTACAAGGGAAAAAGGTCTATCTGGTCTAGGTATTTAGATGAGACAACATATCATCCTTGTATGTCTCGATGTGAACACCCAACTGCCACTCATGTATACTGTTAGTCCACGGAAGGACTTGGTTGTGTGGCAACCTTCATTTGATACTGTAAATTTATTTTACACCCACCAGAATTTAAAATACAGTGTCAAAGGAACATAAATGTACTGTTATAAAAAATAACCAGCCATCCATGAGTATAAATTGAACACATTTACAAATTGGCACACATCTTCCTATAACTTACAATGGAGTTCACATTGACGATTCTGCTTGCAGAACCTCTGATCAGGGATGGTATGAGCAATATGGAAAGCAATGCTGGAGCAAGATGGTTCACCTGCATGTGTTCCTCATACCCATCCTTGGAAAACTTCTGTGGTTCTAATAGAAATAGTAACATAACCAACTAGCTTACTACTTGGCCAAGATAGGTAGAGATATGTGTGTCAAGCTTTTACTACAAATCTATCAAAAAGAAAGATGCGGGGTTTGATGCCTCAATGGCAGTGAAATTGCTCAGAAAAATGAGAGATGCTGAGAATCATAGGCACCTCAAATACAGTTCTACAGAAACAATTAAAAGTAGAAGAGAACAAAAACAAGGTAAATGAAAGGATAAACCATTCAATATGACAACATAAGTAAAAATAAAACAGTTTCGATTTCTAAAGTAGCCTTTGATGTGCCTGTGCAAGTGTATTTTTGCAGTTTCATTTAATTGAATGTTTGGCATTGAAGAATACTGACCTCCAATAGAAAATATCCCTGCGTTGTTAATGAGAACATGTAACGGTCCTCCACGAGCATTCCATGAATCAGCAAATCTCACAACAGAATCCAAGGAAAGTAGATCAAGTTCCATGACCTATGGAGTAATGCATTGAAGGAAGTTAATATCCCTGCCCTCAACATATCCATCCATTTAAATAATATAATAATTTAAAGTTAGAACACATTTGTAGGATTTGACAGAGCATTGTGTGTAACTAAATGATCAGAAGCCTACTTGAGTACTTATCTCAAATGGATATTACAAAGCTACCTCTATATTAAGAGGAAGGCCCTTCCCAGCCCAATCTCCTTGCCACTTCTTTATCAATTCATTTGCAGCATTTGTATTTCTGACTGCCATTACAACATGAGCCCCAGATTCAGCCAATTGTCTGTTCCATGAAGAAAAATTTGTAAACATAATCCTACCCATATGAATAAATCATAAATTCATAACTTCACCCGTCCCTAAATTATCCACACACTTTTTTTGTCCGTCCCAGAATTAACCTTCATTTCCTTTTAAACAAAGCAATATGTAGTTCATATTATTTCTCTCTCATGTACACAAATTTCATGCACATAGTTTCTACTTTCTTAATCACTGTGCTGGTCAAGTTGTTGGACAGTTTTGGGACGAAGGGAGTAGATGATAAAGGCAGGAACAGGCACAAGCCCACAAGTTTGTCTTTCCTTCGTTCTTACATCAAGAGATGAGTAAAAATAACATTTATGGGGTCAAAATAAGAAGACCAAATGCATAGTTTTAAGGCGGTGTGTGGTTAGAGCAAAGGAATCAGTATTTGAATGGTTTTAAGTCAAAATATGATGTGTTTGACAGCACCTTGGAATCAGAACAACTCTGTATTATAAAAGTAGCAATTTGCGAAATGGAAACGATTCCTCATTCCTTAAAGTGAGAATGGAAGAAAAGTCAATAATGAAAAGGAAAATAATTTTCGCTCTAATTCCGTTTCCAGATTCCAAAAGACATGAAACAAACACCCCCTAAAGTTAATACCACATCTATCCTAGTGCTTGTCTTACTATGTATGTAGTACATAGTAAGGTACTCTAATCTACTACCCCAATTTTATTATAGACATGTAAAATATTCTAGGTGAAGGCAGAGTTAGCATATCCTGTCTATGATCACTTTTTTCATTTAATTCCATTTCTGGATTGCAAAAGGTAGGACCATAAACACCCCCAAAAGTTATTACCCAGTCTATACGAGTACTTCTTCTCTTTCTATTTATATTGAAGTATCTCAATATCTTCTATGAAGGTTTACTACTTTAGAATATAGTCTTCCTACTATACCCTAGTACCATCGCTAACATATAAAGAATGAAACAAACATATTCTAGGCGAAGGCAGAGTTAGTGTGTCCTAACTTCTAGGGATGGCAATTTAACCGACCCGATGGATACCCGCACCGAACCGGTCAAAATGGAGAAAACCGATTTGATTGGGTAACGGGCAATGGGGCGGTTTCGGGGAAAATAAATTAACTAACGGAGCGGGTACAAGTAATGGTATACCCCGCCTCGATCCGCCCTATTGCCTTCCCTACTAAATTCAAATAAATGCCAGTCTCAAATAGTACCCCTCATCCACATCAAAGGCCTTCAGTTCTGAACCCACATATTCCATAAATTATGTGTAGTACTACACTACAATGTATTCGTAAAATGAAATCCAATCTAATGCAAGTCTTTAACATATAAGTTTAGGCAAAAGTAGTCATTCAGTTTCATTTGAACTCTTAGGTACAGCCTATGACGGAAAAACTCCAAATTTAACCATATTTTTGTTGGCAGATATATCAATGAATTTTTACACCTTACTTAGTGACCTTCCTGTGTTGAACTATCTCTTTGACATTTATTAGAATATTCTCATACACATTAACATCCTTTGATATATCCTACGGGAATGCTTTGTAAGCAGAGACTGAGCAGGTGGGACTGGGTGGGTGTGTGGTAGTGGGGGGTGGGCAGGAATGTAGAACCATTTCAAGTTTAGCTTTCATCTTCTAAAAGATGGAGCCAGTGAAAGAAGCACATACATTAGCATTACCATTAGCATTAGCATTAGAGATTATCATTACTTTTGGCAGCACTCTCACTATAAAAAAACCCCAACTTCATTGAATAGTGTAACAACAACATACAGTGACAGACCAATGGTTGAATAGATGGAATTGATGCCAAAATGAAAAGAAGAAGAGTTGAATTCAGTGACCTAGCAGTTTCTCGGCCGATGCCGCTGGTAGAACCAGTGACGATGCACGTAAGGCCATTGATGGGAGGGAGAGGCATGGGGTTCTCCAAGTGGCTGGCGGCAATCCTCTGGAACAGCATCTCATAGGCCAGGTACAGCCACCCCCTCAGCCACTCCATCCATCCCAGCGCCTCCTTCTTCGGCCATGATTTGTCTTGTCTTGCATTTCCATCCTTCGTCTCCTTGGCGTGAGACACCATCCCCTCTCGCCCAGCAGCGCTGTAAAGGTCTGATCTTTAAATCTTGGGATAAAAATAGTGCCACGGGGTTGTACATTAAAGTGCCACACGCTTGTACCAGTCCTCTCTCGGTCCTATATCCGTCTATTGCCCTGACCTTGAGGTAACAGTCGCACAGATGCCTTTCGTCTTCCGTTAATAGTCTCGCATACAAAAGACGGCTCAACGCGGTGCCATGGGGCCTCCATTGCTTCTTGAGTTAATTTTCTTGGTCTGTATGACCTCTCCCCCATTAGGGCGGACCCAAGAAATTCATGGGGTTCAAAATATTTTTTGAGGGCGAAAATTATTTTTCTTATATATATACACTTAAAATAAATTTTGTTGGAGGGGCGGTAACCCCCTGGGTCTGTACTACGGTCCACCACTGAGTCTGCAATTCTTCATGCGGGTTGATAGTGATACAGTTGGAGTCAGTTGGCCAGATCATCAAGCTATATGTTTTGTTATTAGAAGCTAATAGAATAATGACAAGTGTCAAGTTAGTTAATAATATGTTGTATTAGCTAGCTGACTTTGTTATCTCTCATTTAACTTATATAGCTTTCCCTGTACATTGTTGAGACTCAAGAAATGAAATAACAAACATCTTTTTCTCCATATCTTCTCTTCTATGAATTCTTACTATTATTTCTATACAAGATCTCATTATCTTTTCTACATCCAACGCAGATAACCTGACTTGTATCATTGGTATCAGAGACGTTGATCCAATTACTGCTAATTTCGATCCCTGCGAGATTGAAAGCTTCGTAAACAATCGGAAGTAGATAGTAAGGAATGGTGTTGACTCGAAATTCTAATTTTGAAATGGACGAAGCATTGAAGAACATGCAATTGGAGTTCGATCAGAAGCTTGAACATCAAAATAAACTAATGATGGACATGATGGGCAACATCATGAAGAAAGTAGTGGGATTACAGAAAAACAAGAAAGGCGGAAGTGAGGAGGAAACAGACGAAGATGAAGTAGGAAGTGAGGAGGAGACTTCTTCGTATGAGGAGGAGGATGGCGCGATTGGCAAATCTAGTTCAGCTGTTTTAAATAACTTTAGATTCAGTCCGAAAGTGGAATTTCCTGCTTTTGAAGGACAAAATGCTAAAGCGTGGGTTCAGAAATGTGAGAGGTATTTTAAACTCTGTAATATTCCTAAAAACCAAAGAGTTATTCTAGCTTCTCTATACTTGGAAGGGAGGGCAGCAGGTTGGTTTGGGAATTATGTGGCATCTAAGAAAAATTTGAAGTGGAAACAATTTACAACCGACCTTAATGCTAGGTTTAATGACAATTTGGGTAATAAAGTTGTTGAGAAATTTAACAATCTGAAGCAGACGGGTTCTTTAGAAACTTTCATTGATGAATTTGAGATGCTTAAAGCTGCTATGGTGCAAAGAAACCCGAAATTGCCATCAAACTATTTTCTGGAATGCTTTTTGGCTGTCCTAAAGCCTACATTGAAGTCATTCGTAAAGGCTTTTAATCCCAGGAGTATAATTGAGGCTATAGAATTTGCAAGACTTCAAGATGACACTGTAGAAGCCATAACAACACAAGCCAAGTATGGGGGTGTTCCCAAGACAACTCTGAACAAGCCTATATTGCCAACACCAGTTCAAGCAATTCAGAACTCCAAAATGGTTAGCAACCCTGTGAAGAATTGTTTCAGCTTCTGATAGAGCTGAGAAAAGATCTAAAGGGTTATGCTACTATTATGATCAGCCATATCGCAAGGAGCATATGTGCAATCATAAAGGGCCCCGGCTGTTTTTAGTGGAAATCATGGGAGATACTGAAAACAGTAGTGAATGCAATATGGAACCCAATCAAGAAAGTACCAATGAATACACTGTGCAGGAAGAGGAACCATTGATATCATTCCATGCAATGAATGGTTACTCAGATTTTAGAACTATGAGGCTTAATGGATATGTGGGAATAAAGAAGTTACTGATTCTAGTGGACTCAGGAAGTACACACAACTTTTTGAGTTTTAATATGGCCAAAAAGTTAGGTTGCAAGTTGGAAGAAGTGAAATCAATGGTTGTAGTTGTGGCTGATGGAACTCAGACTGAATGTCACCACATTTGTAGAAAGTTCACTTGGAAATTGCAGAATACTCAATTCCATGGGGATATATTAGTGCTGCCATTGGGTGGATATGACATGGTGTTGGGCGTGCAGTGGCTGAGTACTTTGGGAGAAATACATTGGAACTTTCAGGATCTTTATATGAAGTTCCAATATAAAAGGCAAAGAGTAGTATTGAGGGGTCAAAAGGTGGGCAATCTGAAAGCAATGCAGGGTACAAAGAAACAACTAAATCAGATTACCCAACTATATCTGATTCAATGCCAGAATAAATCATTTGAAAAGGGAAGTGAACAGCTGGATAATCATTTTGGGATTAATATAACTGCCAATGTGGATACCCATGTGACCCCAGAAGACTTACAACCACTGATCAAAGAATATGAAGATATTTTCAAAGAGCCTCAAGGTCCGCCACCTAGCAGGGGAATTTTTTATCACAAGATTCCTGTAAAGGAAGGGTCTCAACCAGTGAATGTGAGGCCCTATAGATATCCATTGAAACAAAAGAATATAATTGAAGAGAAGGTTAAAGAACTGCGGAATAAAAATGCAATCCAACCTAGTGCATCACCTTATGCTTCACCAGTGGTATTGGTAGGAAGGAAGGATGGTGACTGGAGGCTATGCACTGATTATAGGGCATTAAACAATCAGACAATTAGAGATAAGTTTCCTATACCTGTTGTGGATGAATTGATTGATGAATTATGTGGGGGGCAAGTATAGTTTCTAAAATTGATCTAAGGGCTGGTTACCATCAATTGAGGGTCCATAAGGATGATGTGTTTAAGACTGCATTTAAAACACATTATGGGCATTTGAATTTTTAGTTATGCCCTCTGGGCTGACTAATGCCCCAGCTACTTTTCAAGCATTCATGAACCATATATTCACAATTTTTCTGAGGAAATTTGTATTGATATTTTTTGATGATATATTGGGTTATAGTGCTGACATTGAGAAACATAGAGTGCATTTGCAGGAGGTGTTTAAAGTGTTGGGGCATCATCAATTATTTGCTAAGATGAGCAAATGCGCATTTGGAATCAAGAAGGTGGAATACTTGGGACACTGCATCTCTGCCAAGGAGTAGAAACAGACCCTAGAAAAATTGAAACCATTTTACAATGGCCTGTTCCAGGTTCCCTTAAACAACTCAAGAGTTTTTTGAGACTAGCAGGTTATTATAGAAAATTCATAAAAGGCTATGCATTAATAGCTAAGCCCCTTACTGAGTTATTAAAAAAGTGACCTTTCCAGTGGAATAAGGAGGCTACTGAAGCATTTGGGGAACTAAAAAAGGCTCTAACTTCTGCTCCAGTGTTAGCCTTGCCAAACTTTGATAAACCATTTGTTGTGGAGACTGATGCATCTCAAACAATGGCATAGGAGCAGTATTAATGTAGGAAGGTCATCCTTTGGCCTTCATCAGTAGATCTTTGGGGACTAGATGGCAAAGGTTGTCAGTTTATGAGAAGGAACTATTGGCATTAGTGTTTGCAGTCCAAAAATGGGAACAATACTTGTTTGGTCAATCATTTATTATCAAGACAGATCAGGAGAGCTTGAAATGGCTATTGGAGCAGAAAATTTCTACACCCTTTCAACAGTTCTGGCTGTCCAAATTAATGGGTTTCAGGTATGAGATTCAGTACAAGAGTGGAGTAGAAAATAAAGTGGCAGATGCACTCTCAAGGGTAACAGGAGCAGAACTATTGTGTGTGGCAGTTTCATCCATCAATTCAGACTTATTGGACTTAATCATAAAGAGTTATGGGGAAGATGATAATATACAACAACTTATGGTTAAGTGTAAGACTAGTGCTACTCCTGGGAATGATACCTATAAATTGGAGGGTGATATATTGAGGAGAAAAGGCAAGATAGTGGTGGGACATGATGTTATGGTTAGGAAGAAGATCTTGCAATTGGCACACAATTCATCAATGGGTGGTCATTCAGGTAGAGATGCCACTATTCAGAGAATCCGCCATCTATTCTATTGGAAAGGAATTAAAAAGGATGTACAAGCATTTGTGAGGGCTTGTGTAGTATGCCAAACTTGTAAGTATGATACTGCAGCTTATCCAGGAAAGCTGCAACCTCTGCCTATTCCTAAGGAGGTTTGGTTGGATGTATCAATGGACTTTATTGAAGGGCTGCCTAATCTTGTGGGAAAGATGTGATTTTTGTTGTGGTTGATAGAATGAGCAAATATGCTCACTTTATGACCCTCAAGCATCCCTTTTCAGCAATAGAGGTAGCACAGGTATACTTGGATAGTGTGTTTAAATTACATGGCTGGCCAAGAACCATTGTCAGTGATAGAGGATCTATATTCCTTAGTAATTTTTGGACTGCTTTATTCAGTATTCAAGGAGTGGATCTGTTGCTATCTACATCTTTCCATCCACAAACTGATGGACAGACTGAAGTAGTGTAACACCCCGGCCCCGTAGGACCCGAGGTAGTTACTTAAGACCTCTAGTACTGTCCCCACAAACCGCCACTAGCCTTTTCCGCGCACTTTGTCCTCACTCGTGCGCGCCCTGAGAAACTTCCCAGGGGGTCACCCATCCCAAGACTACTCCCGTGCAAGCACGCTTAACTTTGGAGTTCTTGGCTAATGAGCTCCCTTAAAAGGAGATGCACCTTGTTGGTATGAGTAGTACTATTAATCCTCTTATATTAATCTTGGGTATTACAATCACCCCCACTTAGGATCGCAACGTCCTCGTTGCGTCCTTAAACCAATCTCAATCAAATCCCAGAATCTTTTCCCCTGCTAAGTGTCTGCCCGATATCCAACGGATCAGTACACTGTCGCAGGGTTGCTCTGATACCACCTTGTAACACCCCCAAATTTCCCACCCAAAAATAATACTTTATTCAAAAGAAATATCAACTTTATTTGAAAACATTAGAGTTATGCAGCGGAAACGTAGTGCAATTTAAACTTCTTAAACTAAATTATGAACATTACACAATACATATTATTATGTACATAAATGCACTACCGTTATAATACCCCATGGTTGACTTTTCTGATGTGCAATTAACTTATGCGCAGATATATGTACTCCATAGTTCGGATTGATTGTTTTAAAAACATATACGCGCAAGCCTCAAAAGGAATATTACTCCTTATTAAGGGAGGCGTAAATATACTCCTTATTAAGCTCGTATCTTCTGCGATCAAAGGAAACCCTAGAGCCTAGAATCGTCGGTTGGGTCTATATATATATATATATATATATGGTTTATAAACCTACGAACCCAAAAAAAAACCCTCGACGCCGACGTAGAGACATATACATATACCACGTACGTAGTATAACATATAAGGCGAACGACGAGAAAGTTTGCTAAGCGACCAAAACAAAACCCAAGCCCGACGTTATACTACCCTGTGAATCCCTGCAATAAGTACGTTGTCATCGCGAAAAGAAGGAAGAAGAACGCTGGAGGAAGATCGTCACGCCGGATTGCCCGTGCAGTTGTTGCCGGACTGTTTTGCACGTCGGAGTGTCGGACAGAGTAAGCTGGTCATCCACACGCCACGCCCGAGGGAGAGAAGTCTTCGTAGACCATACCTCAACCGCCATGAGTGACTCTATCATCGCCGGAGTACTCCCTACGCCGGAGAGACTATTATACGAATTGCCGTCATCGCTGGGAGAGAAGAAGCCGCCGCAGATCGATCTCCTGACGCCAGACATATTGCTACTAACGAACGTGGGAGGGGGAAACTCTCTAACCGCACCTTTTCTCGCCAGAGAATGTCAGAGTAGTGAAACTTCTGTGTAACAAACGCTGTCTACCGACGCTGGTCGCTGGGGAACTCGCCACTGCTTGCCATCGGAGAAGACAAAATGATCTGCGGGCGTAAGTTACTCCTACTGTGATACACTGGATATTTAACAAATGGGCCGCATGTATAACTGATCTGATGGACTGATTTTAATAAAAGAATCACTAAGTTATAATTATAAACTTATTACGGATGATTAGTAAGATTAATTATTATTGATGTGATTAAATCAAACAGGGGGAATTTATAAATAAAGGGTAGGTGAACCTTATACTTTATAGAAGGTGATTGAGTGAGGAGCAAGGTAAAAGATTTGCCTAGAGAATACTTGGAGTTTGAGGTAAGTTCTACATCAACCAAAATTATACTTTTCCTCCTAAATATATATATGATTATTTATTTGAAATTATTTGAGTACTTTGTGAGATTTCGAGCATTTACATTTATACTTCGTATTTGAGAATTATTTATGGATTGTTATTGAGGATTATATTTGAGATTTGAGTATTGAATATTGTGTGATATTTTTTTTGCGTATTTGAAGTTATGTATTAATCATTATTGGGAATGAGATTTGAGCTATTTATGGAGTATTCTATATTTTAATCATGTTGGGAATTTTCGAGTTTAAATGATCGATTAACCCTTATTTTGGAAATTTATGTCTATGTATAAGATGTGATGCATTGTTGAATGTTGAATAACTTTGGGGAAATTACGTGAGTAGTAATCCCTGAATTTTTGGAAAATAATAAAGATAAAATGAACCTTTCAATATAAGGGCATCACGGGAGAAATCCGGGATGTCGGTGTCCTCCACGACCTTGACTGTGGAGAGTGATTAGGACTGCTATTACTTGTTGGGATTTGGTGTCCACGACCTTGACTGTGGAGATTGGTGGTTGTTTATTGTATTTAAAATTCGGGCAAAAGACCCTATTATTCAGTAGTAGCAGTAACCTAGTCACTTAGATAGGGTAATCCCTTTTTGGTGGAGTAGGGGGACGTTGACGTCCGAACTACTTGGACTTCTTACTACTCGGAGGGCTTGGAATCCCTTTTAGAGGGTGTGCACACTTAAGGTAGAGGTTCAGTTTCCTCAGGTTAGAAGTGGTACCGGCAAAAGTCCCGGGGTGGCCGTACATAACAACGGACCATCGGGCTCAATAAAATGTTGAGCACCGCCCTTCAAATGTATTAGGAGTACAAATTATATTTGGATTGATGATTTGAGGTTTTGAGGAGAATTATATTTGAATGGAATGGATTTGAGTTGTTGGATTGAATTATCAAATTATTGTGGAATTTCAAGTACAAATACTTTTGGATTTATTTTGGTTTGATTATGCTAATACTGATTATGAGTGTTTGGAATTATTTTGAGAATGATTTTGGTACTTTATGTACATTTGGTATGTTGTAATTATCGTGGTTTGGAAATATTTATTTATATTTGAAGTACTATTTTTTTACTCGTGAATTGTGTTATATATGAGAAGATTTTACAAATTGTTTTAAAAAGATTTTTCCTGCCAAATGTTGTTTTCAAAAATATTAAATTTATATTTTTTTATGGGGTTAGGTGGAACTTACTTAGCATTGTTGCTAATTTTTGTTTTCTTTTATTTTTCTTTCTGTACATGATTTTGTACAGGTAATGCTTTGCTGATGATATTGATTTCGAGAGAGCTTCCGCTAGAGAAAATGTAATTAGTAGATAACATTGTAGTTTAATTAAATTTTCAAGACACCTATTGAGTTTAATTGTCTGTGGTGATTAGCCTGTGCACTCGGTTAGGTTAGAGCCGAGTGTGGCGGTAACACCCAATTTCCCTTTTGGTTTCCGCTGCATAACTCTAATGTTTTCAAATAAAGTTGATATTTCTTTTGAATAAAGTATTATTTTTGGGTGGGAAATTTGGGGGTGTTACAAGTAGTGAACAGATGCCTTGAAACTTACCTTAGGTGCATGTGCAGTGATAAACCACAAGACTGGTGCAAGTGGATTCCATTGACGGAATGGTGGTATAACACCTCCTTTCATTCCTCTATTAAGATGACTCCCTATGAAGCTGTGTATAATCAAAGCCCCCCATTTACATCTACCTTATATGGCTGGTGAAACTAAGGTAGAGGTTGTGGATAGATCACTACAACAAAGAGAGGCAATGATTAAGCTGTTGAAGTCTCATTTGTTGAAAGCACAAAACAGAATGAAAATACAAGCTGATAAGCATAGATCTGAAAGAGAGTTTGAAATAAGAGAGTGGGTGTGGCTTAAGCTTCAATCTTACAGGCAGAATTCACTAGAATTGAGAACAAATGATAAACTCTCTCCTAAATATTATGGCTCATTTCAGATAAGCAAGAAGGTTGGGAAAGTTGCTTATCAGTTAATGTTACCAGCTGAAGCTAGAATTCGTCATACCTTCCATGTATCTCAGCTAAAGGAATTCAGAGGTGATTTACCAGTTAAACCTCATATGCCTGAAAGGTTGCATGGGATATCCAAGGAAGCTAAGGCAGAACCTGTAGCTATTTTGGAAAGGAAGTTGATAAAGCATGGAAATGAAGCTAGAATTAAATTTTTGATACGATGGGATGGTCAAAGTGTTGAGAATGCTACATGGGAGTGGGCAGACTCAATCAAAGCATTGTATCCTGCTTTTTACACTAATATGACTTGAGGACAAGTCAAGTGTTGAGGAGGGAGTATTGATACAGTTGGAGTCAGTTGGACATATCATCAAGCTATACGTTTTGGTATTAGAAGCTAATAGAATAATGACACGTGTCAAGTTAGTTAATAATATGTTGTATTAGCTAGCTGACTTTGTTATCTCTCGTGTAGCTTATATAGCTTTCTCTGTACATTGTTGAGACTCAGGAAATGAAATAACAATCATCTTCTTCTCCATATCTTCTCTTCTATGAATTCTTACTATTCTTTCTATACAAGATCTCGTTATCTTTTCAACATCCAACGCAGATAACCTGACTTGTATCAGATAGCTTTACTCTCAAAATAAGGACAAAAGATCACGGTGAATCCTCTCCTCCTCAACCCCTTGCTGACGAGCTTGATGAGCTCTTGATGGTTTGACATCAAAAGATTTGGAGGAACTTGAAGAAACTAGAATAGGGTGACATGCGAGTAAAGGTAATAGTTATAAAAAGAAGAGAGTTAATACCTCATCTGTGGTCAATAAATACCACAATATTTTCAAATTCCAATTTACCTTATTAGCAGTCAAATATTTCGTATTCCAATCATCCATTCTTTTAGAAAAGTACTTCTCAAAGTAGAAGATTGTATTGTTTTGTGTATCGGGACAAATGGATGGAATCCTCTAAAAACAATTACATACAAAATTGAGGAACAACCATTAAAGACACTTTGATGAATACCACTCGCGCAAAAAGCATTTGGAGTCGGTCAAAACCCTGTATAGCTGATTAAGTACAACTTGAGACCAATTGATGGAATTAAGTTTCTCCAAATCATCACCTAGCTAAAAAATCTTGATTGAACCCCTTTGTAATTTGTACTAGGAAGGAAAGACTGATCAATTTTATAGTGTACAATTTTCGAAAAATCAAGTCATCAATTTTTTAACTTCTATTTTGATAACATGCTGCTTAAGGTCGTAAATCATCACGTGTCTTTTTCATGAGAGGAGAGATAGGTAGGACATGCGGAAGAGATAAGCATAGCATCAAAACTATCAATCACAGTCCCATTATTTTCGATACCGAGGAATGTAGCCAACTCGTGGCTGCAGAGGTATATTTTTGTGGGTGAATTAAAAATAAAGCTTGTACTATGAAAACCCTCACAGAGTTCCCGCGGAAGAGTCCCAATAGCCTCTCGCTTTTGCTAAGAGTTATCAAGTTCTTGAAAATTGAAGAACTTAATAACTCTTTCTTTTTTTACTCCAAAACCAGATTTAGATTCACAATTCTTCCTAAGTTTGCTGCAAATTTCATCTTTTGGCGATTTTTATCCTACACACAAAATTTTCTCAAACACATATTCTAGAATTTAATTCAGAAATTTCAATTTCGTAATCATTTGAAATGAATTCTACTAATTTTAAACTAAAATTCGAGCAAAATGCCAATTCAAACACATGAGTAAATTTTATAGCGAACATACTCTTGGTTCGACAGCTGTGGACTGACACAGTGGCTCCCCAAAATGGAGGCAGAACAAATTCAATAAACTAAATCTAAATTCAATCAGAATTAAATGAAAACTCAATAAAATAAACAAACCCAAAGAGAAAATGACGATAATCGACTCAACAGAGAGATTAGCTGACAAGAGAACGAGAAGACAATACTTTGCGGAGAGATTGGCAGACGAGCAAACGAGAAGACAAAACTTGTTTAGATAAAACTTGCTTGGACAAAAAAGGCCCAAAGTTGACGCCCAAATGTGTACATTTGGACCCTAAACTGAGCAAAAGAAACATAGTACCAAAATTATGTTTGGGTGTTCTTCTTGATTGCCCCAGTTTGAGTCAGACTAAAAAAACTCGACCTAATAGTGACCAACAACTAAACCATGCCCTGATTCAGATCTCATTTTTACGGATTTGGATCCTGATTTTTTTAGTATATTGTGACACTTTTTTGTCCTTATATTATTATTGTGACGTTTTTTAATGTCACAATATGTGTATCAATTTTTTTGCAACCAAAGATCTTAGATGCTTTAAAGCGTCAATATTTTTGTTTTAAATATAGTCTTCATATTTGCGAAACGCTATACCTACCAAGGTGTGGTTAAGTTTGTATCCTAATGTTGGCTTAAGGTATTTATAGGGCTACTATCAAAATTTCTTTCAGACTATCACCTATGTTAATCGTATGTTTTTAGAATGATTATCTATGTCTATTACTATATAAAGAGAAGGGGTGAATTGGATGATAAATTGTATTTTTCCAATTTCTCCTTTTTGAATTAAGTGACTAACTATTATCCTCTTCATTTGATACCTTCAAAGTGTCATTTCTTTTTTCTCCTTTAATCAGTAACTGCTTTTATCTGTAAATTCTTTTTATAGAAATTTACTCCACCGTAATTGACTAACTATTATCCTCTTCTTTCTTTTCTTCTCCTTTTATATATACTTACTTTTATCAATAAATTCTCTTTATAAAAAAATAGGAAAAATTGATAGTAAGAATCCCAACTATTGGCGGTCCGCTCATAATAATCCCAACTATCGATTATTTCAGAATAATCCCAACTTTAGAGACCTTCCGCCAATAATGATCTCTATAAATAATTTCTTGTAGTTTCTAAAGTGGATGAGAAGAGATAAATTCTTGTAGTTTCTAAAGTGGTATGATCAGATCGTGATTCCGAGCAACTTCAAAAATCACGATTTTCTAACCTGTAGAAATTTATCTGAAAATGAGAAAACGGTGTATGGAAACTCAACCTCGCTCTGATACCACTTGTTGGGATTGGAAAATTCTTCTATTCAATATCAAGAACATAATTACAATAGGAGGAGCAAACTCTCACACTCAACTATTACAAAAAACCAATCCTCACCAATACACTTCTACTCTAAGTGTATTTCACTCTTCACAGTTTCAATAGGATTTGGTAAGTTAGGAAGAGGGGTGGAAAGATCCATATGAATGTACTTATTACAGAAGCGGTGAGATTTTTATTCGCTTGAAGTGATAGATAGAAAGCTTCAAGCAATTACTTCACGGTTGGAATTCAATAGTGCAGTGCTTGATAACAGGAAGAGCAGCAAAGTGCTTGATAAAAGGAGAAGACGGAGTGACAGTGAACCTTAAGCAGCGTGTGCGCCTCTCTTTACTAGAATAGCAGCAAACAAAGAAAGATAAAAAAAAAGGATGACACCCCATCCCTAAGGGACCCCAACACCGACCGGACGGCACGATGGGAGGATGTAAATTGGACTATAATCACAATCTGACAGATAGAGAGTGGGGCTCCGTCCCCGGTACTTGCAGAGGCCCTATGCATTTTTAGCATAGTAATCTCTCATCGCAGTTGTCGGGATTCAAACCCGGGACCTAACCCTTATGGCACTCCCTCACTACCAGTTGAGCTACGCCCACCGATTCAAACAAAGAAAGAGAAACAGCCAATAGGGAACAAGGTTAGAGAAGTCACCTTAATAGGTCTCAGAGCACAGACCATTCCCTTACAGACCGGGGCCGATTCGACAAGTGAGAGATAGGCTCAAACTCGAAAGAACGTTGATAGGGGAGCATGGAAGGACAAGCACTTTAATGTAAAAGGCAAGAAAGTAAGGGATGGTGCGGAAGCACTAGGGGTGGGCACAGGGAGGATCGGTCCTATTTTAGGAGTACTACTTAGGAGTTTTTTTGATAAGAAAGAGACCGAATAGGATAAAAAGAAGACTTTTTGAAAATCTATAGCGCGGGGCGGGGCAGCATATTTTTGTATTTGGAACCAACCCTAACCCAGCCCGTTTTCAAAATGCCGATTCCATGGATTCACTTGTCTGAGCTGAAAATGTAAAATTGATCAAATAGTTTAAAAGTTGAAATGAATAAAATCCCCTCATTAAATAGCAAAGCCGCCACAAAGGTGCTACTACCGAAAAGTGAAAATATTTAAGTCCGTTCTAGCAAAAATATACTATCGTATTAAAAATAAAGATCTACTCATTGTCTAAAACAAATAGATGTCATCAAATTTAAAAAACCACTTATTGTCTCATGCAACTCATTGTCTTAAACATTTTCATTTTCCATCTCATCACAATTTGAACTCTCCATTGAGAATTAAATGTTATAACTTAAATATAAATAATAGCTAAAATAAAAAAGAAGTGAGGAATCAGGGCAGGCTATATCACAGTTACATAAATCACCAAAGAGGGCAGGATCTGCGTTCTGAACGCTACGTACCTAATTGCGGTACGAAAGCGTTACAAACGCTACCTGGACTGCAGATAGTACGCTTTCCAAATCATTCACAATCGCTATCCAGCTCGTCGCAATAACTATCCAGCTCTTTCGCTATTGCTTTTGATGTCAATGAGAAAACCAGAAACTCAACAAACCCAATTTGCTACACAAGCTAGGGATGCAAGTACTACATTTCTTGGCAATGGCGATAATAAAAAATCAGGAGGTGCAAAACTGTGGATTTGCAAAGAATGCAAACACTACAAAGCCAAGTACACAAGTTCTTATACAAGAGTTCATGTTCACCTATTTGGGCCGTTAGCTGGGGGAAAGGCAGAGATAAGATGTCATGCAGTCCTTAAAAACAGACAGAAATATGAAAGCCTCGGGAATAAAGTAAAAGAAGCAGAAACTGGTGAAGTTAAAAATCTTTAAAGAATTCTCTACTTTCCAAAAATGTATTCTCAAAGAAGCGCTTGGAAAAATCTTTCAGGCTACTAGAGAGAAACACGGTTGACTTGAAGATTATTTGAGGTTTGTGTGCAAATGGGATTCCATTCAATGTTTTACGCAACCCTCAATTTATTGAAACGGTGAATGCTATAAAAAAGGCTACAGACGGATACAAGCCTCCATATAGTGAAAAGGCGAGAACGGTATTGCTTGACAAATGCATTAGGGACGTTGAGAAGGATCTAACACAAGTGAAAGATATGTGGTACACTCAAGGAGTGTCAATTGTCTCGGATGAGCGGTCTAACGTGAACAATATGCCACTTATCAATGTTTTAGCCATGAATTTGCGTGATGTAATGTTCGAAGGTTTTTCTGGAATTGAAAAAACTGGAATTGAGATTTCAAAATTTCTAGTTGGAGCTATTAAGACTGTTGGACCCACTAATGTGTTGCAAGTGGTAATTGATAATGCAGCTAAATGTAAAGCAGCCGGACAAATGGACAATAGATCGAGAAGGTACACAAACATATCTTTAGAAGGTAAAGCGGATATGTTAGACCTAGCAAACCGCGCTCACGATCCTCATTCCTGTACTGAACCGTTCCACGAACTATATGACTATGATTTGAACCCAAAAAGAGTATTCAAGTGGGAAATCAGTTTAAATAGTTTTGTATCAACCGCTGCTAGCGATATATCACATACTTCGGTATATGTTTTGATGAAGTGCACCAGAGAGCATAAGAAATCCATGTTCATTATTTAGATTTTTATTTTATCAAAACTGACACCGACCCAGAGGAGTTAAGCCATTTGTATAAATCTTTGTTATACTATCTTCCGTCTCTTTTTAGTTGCAACATGTTGACTTTTTGCATTATTCACATGATCTACTTTGACTACATTTTACACTATTATTTTACGGAAATAATTTTTTTAAAAAATATTTTTCAAGACATCTCATTACAAATTTTTAAAATGTGATTTTTAATATTTTTTTATTAATAGAGATTAAGATATACTTATGGTCAAATGTATGCGTTGGCAAATGTGCAAAGGTTGACTGTTTCAACTAAAAAAGAACAGCTGAAGTACATTTTAAGCATTCTTCTATATGGAGAAAAAGCTAGTAGCAGCCCAAATATTTAGCACATTAAGAATGTCTATTTTCTTGATCAGATTTGATTGAAAATGTATACTAAAATGGGCACACTTACTTCATTTTGTCATGAAGGAGTTTATTCTTTAACTGATTTTTTCTTCTGCGCAGGCGTTTGAAAACCACCATCAGAAAAAGCCTCAAATACTGTCTAGGAGTTCTACTGTACTCGTGAGGTAGACGTTGATAACCATGTGCTAGTTGTAGATACTACCTCCGTAACTTAAAAATCTTCCCATTTCAAAAGTAGGTAGATTAAGAATAGTGAAAGATGATATGAATTATTGAGAGCATGATGGGACGTTAGTGGAATAATGTGATGGAATGTAGGATAAATCCAAAAAAAAATTGTTGTAATAGTGTATTATTTTTAGAATTATTGAGGGTATGATGGGAAGATATAGAAGTGGGAAGATTTTTTTGTTACGGACGAAAAAGAAAAGCGAGAAGATTTTTTTGTTATGGAGGGGGGAGGGAGTATAATTTTATACAGAGGGAAACTCAAAGGTCATTATGAGGTGCAGAAGAGTAGCAGACAATTTTTTGCAGGCCAATATAAAATTAAACAATTTTCTCCAATTGGAAACTCGCAGAGGTGTGGAAATTATAGATTGAGAAATTTGTTGATTTAGTCCCGTAACTTATAGCTATACCTGATATTGGTCCTGTAACTTTATTAACTTGCAGATTACATCCCGTAACTAATAAGTTGGTGCAATTTTGGTCTTTCTCTGCCGGAACTTACCAATTTCGCCGGAAAAAGACACATCACATGCCACATGGTATATTATTTGGAACTCATTTGCTGACTCAATGTTGGCCCTTAGCTGGAGTTAAAAACTTATTTCTTCTTGGTTGCTGGCTTGCAGCAGGAGCATTTTGAATGAAGTTTAAAGCTTTCTGGATTCATGTTTTAAGAATAAAGCATTTGACAGAGTCTCCAACTCTTCTTAAAACTTCAGACCACATATATTACTCATAAACATAAACTTGAAAGTAAATAACATTGTCAATTCAAAATAAAAGATGTAAATTTTTAACAATTTAGGGAAAGCTTACAACTAACAATAACAATGTCTTACTGCACCTTCATAATGTGGTACTAATTAATAACCTAAACTACCTAACACTCTTGAAATGTTACATCATCTTCACTTCTCACATCTTTAACATGAGAAAGACCAGGAGCAAAAACACTAGCCCCACAACAACTATGAGGAGTCTATTATTTTTAGCTTTCAACTTTACAACATCTTCCTCTTTTGAATTGAGTTTTCTAACCAATACCAGAATTATCATCGTTCAAAGATGACACATAGGTGGGTCCGCCAATTCAAAAAATCTGCAACCTTATGTCTGTATCAAAACAAGATGAAGCTTAACTTACTTTTTACTGCTTTGAACACAAAAATGCATTATCAAATGCCCCCAACAAATAGAAGATAATAATTTTATTAGAAGAACCTAGCTTAAAATTTAAATAGTACTTTTTAATTTTCAAACAAATTTATTATTCAAATGCTATTCTTAAATTTCTAGTTTATTTAGTAAAAAAAAAGAAGCAAACAAAGTAAATTAAAAAGGTCAACTTCTTACTCTGCTTCTATCGCACACACGAAACCTCCTTTCAGGATTGTTATCAGTTCAAGAAGTTAGAAGAGAAACATTTTTACCACAATCACACTCCATAAACTCATGTCTGATCGAGAGCCGTTATTAGCAGATTTGAAGAATAACTCACTCTCTCGACTTAGTTCAGGAGAAATCTCCAGGTAGGGTCATGTGTTCTTTCCCCCTTTTGCAGATCCGATAATAGGCTTGGTATGGTTGTGCACGCACTCAGCGAAGAGCTTTCGTACTCTGGTTTTTTAATTCCAGCTAAGGGCAAATATTGAGTCAGCAAATGAGTTCCAAATAATATACCATGTGACAGGTGATGTGTCTTTTTCCGGCAAAATTGGTAAGTTCCGGCAGAGAATGACCAAAATTGCACCAACTTATTAGTTACGAAATGTAAATTGCAAGTTAATAAAGTTACAGGAGCAATATCGGGTATAGCTATAAGTTACGAGACTGAATCAACAAATTTCCCTTATAGATTTTCTCCAATTTGTCCAAGTAAATTCTCTTGGGACCCACATGGACTCCATGGCGTTATTTAAAGGTTTGGTAGCGGACACATTACAGCGGGGATTTGCCAACTGAAACCTTGATGGCCTCTGTATCAAAAGCTGCAGTTGCCCATTGTCGAACAATCAAATCAGCTCAAATCTGGCAAACCCACACGACCAATAACTTGATTAACGTCTACGCAAGATGCCGAGATATAGTAGCTGCTCTCAAGCTGTTCGATGAAATGCCCCTTAGAGACACCGCTTCTTGGAACACCATGATTGCTGGCTACGTGAACTCTGGGAATATCCAGAGTGCTTGGGATTTCTTGAAGTCCATGAAGCAACATGGTCTTCTGTTTGATGGCTACACTTATGGGAGCATACTTAAAGGTGTTGCCACTAATGCTTACCTTTCGTTTGGGCTACTGGTGCATGCCGATGTTGTTAAGATGGGGTACGATGATAATGTTTATTGTGCAAGTGCTCTGGTAGACATGTATGCCAAATGTGGCAGAATGGAGGATGCTAGTAAAGCGTTCCTTCATATGCCTGAACGCAACACCGTTTCGTGGAATGCTTTAATAGCAGGATATGCGGAGACTGGTGACTGTATGAATTGTTTTAAGTTGATGGAAAGAATGGGGAGAGAGGGTGTGCAAATTGATGATGGAACATTCTGTCCTCTTTTGACATTGCTAGATGATCAGGATTTATACAAGCTTGCAATGCAGCTCCATGCAAAAATTATAAAAATTGGATTGGATTTTGAAAACACAGTTTCTAATGCTCTACTTAGCGCATACTCAAACTGCGGAAGCATCCAGAATGCTGAAAAGGTGTTTGATGGGGCTGACAGTTGTCGAGATCTGATCACTTGGAATTCAATGTTAGCAGCTTACATAGAATATGATAAAGAGATGGATGCATATAAACTATTCTTGGATATGGGAAGGCTGGGCATGGAGCCAGATATATATACTTTTACTAGTATAATAAGTGCCAGTTGTGAAATTAATAGAAAATGGCAGGTAAAGTCCTTGCATGCTTTGGTTATCAAGAGGGGACTGGAAAATGTAACAAGCGTATCTAATGCATTAATTTCCACGTATCTAAAATCCGATGCCAGTTATATGGATGATGCAATGAAAGTTTTTGAGTTTTTGGGTGTGAAAGATTCTGTTTCGTGGAATACAATTTTAACAGGAATGTCCCAAAATTCTTTAAGTGAAACCTCCTTCAAGATTTTTGAGGAAATGAGGTCCCACAACATAGAGATGGATCAATATACCTTTGCCGCTGTCCTTCGATCTTGCTCAGATTTGTCAATATTTCGATTGGGTCAAGAAATTCATTCCTTGACACTAAAAACAGGAGTCTTTGTATATGAATATGTGACTGGTGGATTAATATTCATGTATTCCAAGTGTGGACACATTGAGGATGCATGGAAAACCTTCGAGGAATCACCAAAGGAGAGTTCAATCACTTGGAACTCAATTATGTTTGCATATGCGCAACATGGAATGGGTGAAGTTGCACTTGATCTTTTCTCTTCAATGATAGATAGAATTGTCAGTCCAGATCATGTGACCTTCATTGCTGTTCTGACCGCATGTAGCCACATAGGTTTGGTGGAAGAAGGTCAAAATTTTCTGAACTCCATGGAATCCAATTATGGGATCCCACCAAGAATGGAGCATTATGCTTGTGCAGTAGATTTACTTGGGCGGGCCGGGCATCTTGAGAAGGCAAAGGAGCTTATTCGAGGGATGCCGTTCCAACCTGATTCAATGGTTTTGAAAACATTACTTGGAGCTTGCCGAACATGTGGTGACATTGAACTAGCCACTGAGGTAGCACATTGTTTATTGGAATTGGATCCTGGAGAACACTGTATATATGTTTTGCTCACTGATTTGTTTGGAAAACTAAAGCTTTGGGATGAAATAGCTAGTGTAAAGAGGTTGATGAGAGAGAAGGGAGTCAAGAAAGTTCCTGGTAGGAGTTGGATAGAAGTCAATAATGAGGTGCATGCTTTTATTGCAAAAGACCATTCACACCCCGACTGTATGCAGATATATGAGTTCCTGGGTATATTAAGTGATGAAATCAAATTGTTTGAAAATGGTTGTGACTTGTGAGGTTGCTGTGGTGCACATTGATATGCTATGCTGAAGATTATGAATAAAGTCTATCCTATACATCTTCAAGAGATTTTATAGGTATCTTTAATACAATATTTATTCTTTATACTCCCTCTGAATTCTATTGTTTGCTATAATAATGTTTGGCCTAATATTTAAGGGAAGAATAGTAGGGGTAATGCATAGTGTAGAAAAAGTAAGAGAGAAAGTGGAAAAGTACGAAAGAGGAAATGAAAAGGTAGAAAAAATGAGGGTAATTAGGTATTTTCAAAGGGAAAACTTATCATAAAGGGAAATTGTGTCAAAAATTAAAATTTATCCAATAAAAGAAAGTTTAGCAAACAAAAGAATATGTAGGGAGTATAAGTCTCGTAACCTCAGCATCGCCTTTTTTGCTCTATATGGTATTATAATTATTACGTCGTATGCTCGTATTTTTATCACTATTAGGGCATCCAAAATGATGATGTCATGCACACTTTGTTGAGGTTTTGATTCCGATCATAAAAAAATCTATACTCGCCAATACTATTTACCTTTGTGAGCGGTTTATCATTTATAGATGGTGATGTGGCATGGATGGATTTGTGGGACAAATTTTGGGGTTATAATCTGGACCATAAAAAACATATGCCATTGTGTGGGATTTATGGAGGGTGAGATTTGAAGGTGGAGGCCATAGAAAAATGGCTGGTGAGATTTATGGGGTGTAGACAGAAGTTTATGTGAAAATACTAACTTGATGTTAAGAGCAATATTCAGTTTAAAACACATTCAAGTTTTGAATTTTCATTCCAAGTATATTCTGCATAAAAATCTACCAATATGTCAAACCTTTTCATTTTCTCTAATAAGGTCTCTAAGCTTTATTTTTCTCTCTTTAATTAAACAGGAAAAAGGATGTCAGTCCTGCTGATATGCATTCATCTTTTCGTCCAGGTGAAATTATCAAATCTTTGTTGGTATCATTGGCATTAAAGCTGATAACTTCTATTAATACTGAAATATAAATTTAATAATGTTTTTTAAGAACTGATGGACTTAAAAGCTACGAGTCATTCTTTGCTAGCTTGTTGATGGTTCTTTGAAAGGCTCATCCTTTTTAGCTTTGTGGCTGACAATCCTACAATCCTACTATTTTTTGAAGAAGCACTGTCCATCTGATTTGTACAGGGAGCCCATTCTATCTGGCGTTGCTGGATGCACTTAGATTCTGCTTGAGGCAGGTCGAGTGTTCGAAGCTGGTATTGAGGATGATGATGAATTATAATAGATGTACAAAGACCCTATATATATACAGGGAGAATCCTCTTCAGAAGGAAACTCTATTCTCAGGAAACTAAATCTCACAGAATATGGAATCTAGATCTGAGAGAATAAGGAAACTAGATCCCTGAGAATAAGGAAACAAAATCAAAGATAATTACACATTATTTGACAGAATATCTATCTAAATCTACACTCCCCCTCAAGTTGGGAGTATATATGTCAACTAAACCCAACTTGCTCACAATCCCATCAAAGCTAGGCTTGAATAGTCCTCTGGTGAGGATGTCTGCCACTTGTTGTGAAGTTGGAACATATGGTATGCATAAACTACCATTTTCTATCTTCTCTTTGATGAAGTGTCTATCAACTTCCACGTGTTTAGTCCTATCATGTTGTACAGGATTGTTTGCAATGCTGATGGCAGCCTTGTTGTCGCAATACAATTTTATAGGACATTCTAGAGGTAGATGGAGTTCCTTTAGTACTCGCTTGAGCCAAATTCCTTCACAAATCCCGTTAGCCATAGCACGAAATTCTGCTTCAGCACTACTGCGAGCCACCACAGTTTGCTTCTTGCTGCGCCAAGTCACTAAATTTCCCCATACAAATGTGCAATATCCACTTGTTGATCTCCTGTCTGTGGTCGAGCCTGCCCAATCTGCATCAGTAAAAATTTCAACAGTTCTTTGAGCACTCTTCTCAAAAAATAATCCCTTTCCTGGAGATCCCTTAAGATATCTGAGAATACGGTATGCTGCATCCAAATGAGCTTGCTTAGGAGAATGCATAAACTGGGAGATGAGGCTAACACCAAAAGCAATATCAGGTCTTGTGTGTGATAAATATATCAGCTTCCCAACCAATCTTTGATACCTCCCCACATCAACTTCATCACCTCCAATATCACAGAGTTTCTCATTTGGATCTATCGGCGTATCAACTGGTTTACAACCAGTCATGTGTGTATCAGAGAGTAAGTCCAGAATATATTTTTGTTGACTTACAACAATTCCCTTCTTCGATCTCGCCACTTCCATTCCCAAGAAATACTTTAGTGGCCCCAAGTCTTTAATCTCAAATGCCCGTGCTAGACTTCCCTTCAAATCATTAATTTCTTCAAAATCATCACCTGTGACAATGATATCGTCAACATATACTAGTAAAACAGTAATTTTCCCATTTCCTTTGCGTTTAAAGAATAAGGTGTGATCACTTTGTCCTTGGGAATATCCCTGCTGTTTAACAGAGCTTGTAAATCTTTCGAACCAAGCTCGAGGTGATTGCTTTAAGCCATAGAGGGCCTTCTTTAAGAGACACACTTGAGATCCAAACTCATTTTCAAAACCAGGAGGAACATCCATATAAACCTCCTCTGCAAGCTTCCCATTCAGGAATGCATTTTTTACATCTAATTGATGTAATGGCCAATCTAAGTTCACAGCAACTGATAGTAGGACTCTAACCGTATTGAGCTTCGCCACTGGGGCAAAGGTTTCTGTGTAGTCAATACCATAAGTTTGAGTAAACCCCTTTGTTACCAGTCTCGCTTTATACCTCTCAAGTGTTCCATCAGAGTTGTATTTGACTGTGAACAACCATTTACATCCCACTAATTTTTTCCCATCTGGAAGAGCAACTTTAACCCATGTCTGATTCTTCTTAAGAGCATTCATTTCCTCCAGAACTGCTGCCTTCCACTCAGGAATCTGTAAAGCTACTTGTATAGATTTTGGGAACTCCACACGATTAAGATGAGAGGTGAAACAAGAAAAAGAAGGAGACAGATTCTGAAGAGACACATAATTAGACATAGGATATTTAATAGTGCATTTTCTCACTCCTTTTCTAAGGGCAACAGGCATATCAACTTCAGAAGGATTGAGATTAGAATCAAGAGTTAATGGAATTGGATCAGGAGAAACTTTACCTGTCTGTGGGGATTCATCTTGGTCGTGCATGGGAATGTTTGGCTGTACACCCTTCGGTGGACGTTTTCTAGAGTATGTTTGTCCAAATCTCTTGTCATATATTGAAGTATGTTGTAAATCATCAGGACTTTTAGTTATGGCAGATTCATGAGGGGTGATTTCATTTGAAATATCATTATCTAAGTTAAGATTCAAAAAATCTAAATCACCTACACTCACTGAAGCTTCTTGACTCCCCCTAGATAAAGGCTCCCCCTGAAGCTGAAGTTGAGGGGAAAAGAACGGTGATCTCTCAAAGAAATTGCAATCCATGGAGACAAAATATTTTTTTGAGACCGGGTCATAACATTTATAGCCTTTTTGAGAGGCTGAATATCCAAGAAAAATGCATTTTATTGCACGCGGATCAAGTTTAGACTTAGGTGCTGTTCTGTTCGTCTTATTCTTATTACTTATTGCTTATTCTTATTTTATTCAGATCAGATCAGATCAGATCAGAAAAATTCAGATCAGATCAGATCAGATCAGAAAAATTCAGATCAGATCAGATCAGAAAGATTCAGATCAGATCAGAAAGATTCAGATCAGATCAGACCAGATCAGAAACATTCAGATCAGATCAGAAACATTTAGATCAGATCAGAAAAGTTCAAACATGATTTATCACTTTTATTATTATATTAATTATTATTATTAATATTGTTATTACAATTATGATTATTATTATTATATAATTATTATTAATAATATTAATAATAATATGATAAAAAAATAAGATATTAATAATAGTTATAATATTTTAATATAATAATAGTAATATAAATGTAATTATTAAGAAGACTATTATTATTATTATTATTATCATCATCATCATCATCATCATCATCATGATCATGATCATGATCATTATCATTATCATTATCATTATCATTATCATTATCATTATCATTATCATTATCATTATCATTATCATTATCATTATCATTATCATTATCATTATCATTATCATTATCATTATCATTATCATTATCATTATCATTATCATTATCATTATCATTATCATTATCATTATCATTATCATTATCATTATCATTATCATTATCATTATCATTATCATTATCATTATCATTATCATTATCATTATCATTATCATTATCATTATCATTATCATTATCATTATCATTATCATTATCATTATCATTATCATTATCATTATCATTATCATTATCATTATCATTATCATTATCATTATCATTATCATTATCATTATCATTATCATTATCATTATCATTATCATTATCATTATCATTATCATTATCATTATCATTATCATTATCATTATCATTATCATTATCATTATCATTATCATTATCATTATCATTATCATTATCATTATCATTATCATTATCATTATCATTATCATTATCATTATCATTATCATTATCATTATCATTATCATTATCATTATCATTATCATTATCATTATCATTATCATTATCATTATCATTATCATTATCATTATCATTATCATTATCATTATCATTATCATTATCATTATCATTATCATTATCATTATCATTATCATTATCATTATCATTATCATTATCATTATCATTATCATTATCATTATTATTGTTATTATTATTATTACAATATAATAATAATATGATTAATGTTAATATAATATTATATTATAATTATATGTAATTATAATTATAATTACAATTATAATTCTTATAATTATAAGTATAATCAATTGTATTTATTATAATTATATCTATAAATATTTATAATTATAATTGTAATTAATTATAATTATAATAATTATAATTATAATTACAATCATAATTATAATTATGATTATAATTATAATTATAATATAATATTATAATAATATAATACTAGTTATAATAATAATAATCATATTATTATTATTATATTATTGTAATAATAATATGAATATAATAATATCATTATTATAATATTAATTGTATTTATATTACTATTATTATATTATAATATTATAATTAATGTTAATATAATTATAATTATTATTAATTATAATTATAATAATTATAATTATACTTATAATTATAATTTATGATTATAATTATTAATATTATTATTATTATTACTATTGTAATTATTTTACGGAGTAATTGTAATAATATTGATAACTATAGTTACAATTATAGAGATAAATATTGTAATCATAATTACAATTATAATTATATAAGTAATTATAATTCAAAATATAATTACAATTATAATTATATCTATATTTATAATTAGTGTAATAAGTATAAATTTTTTCATTTTAAATTTAATTTTAATTATTATTATTATTATTATTTTTATAGTTACGATTATAATTATGATTTTATTTAAATTATATTTGTAATTGAAATTATAATAATTATAATTATAATTATAATTATAATCATAGAAATATTCAAATCAGATCAGATCAGAAAGATTCAGATCAGATCAGAAGGATTCAGATCAGATCAGAAACATTCAGATCAGATCAGACCAGATCAGAAACATTCAGATCAGATCAGAAAGATTCAGATCAGATCAGATCAGATCAGAAAGATTCAGATCAGATCAGATCAGATCAGAAAGATTCAGATCAGATCAGATCAGAAAAATTCAGATCAGATCAGATCAGAACTTAAAAAATTCAGATCAGAAACATTCAGATCAGGCGAACAGAACAACTTCTTAGTTTTATCCCGATTAGACACAAACACAGTGCAGCCGAATATTTTGAAGGGTAAATTTACAAACGGTTTAAGATCACAATTAAACTCATGAAATTTTTGGATAGGAGTTTGAAAAGATAAAGGTTTAAAGGGCATGCGATTAATCAAGTAAACAGCAGTTAAAAGGGCATCTCCCCAAAAATATTTAGGAACATGATTAGCTAGTAATAATGCTCGTGTGATTTCAAGTAGGTGTCTATTTTTCCTTTCCGCCACACCATTTTTTTGTGGCGTATCAACACATGAGCTTTGTTGGATCATTCCCTTTTCATTGAAAAACTGAGTCAGGGTATTAGAAAAATACTCCCGACCATTGTCACTACGAAATATTTTAATCTTCTCATTAAATTGAACTTGGACCATGTTGTAGAATTTTCTGAAAATATCGACTACTTCACGTTTGTCTTTCATCAGAAATAACCAAGTAAGACGCGTATGATCGTCAATAAAAGTGACAAACCACCTTTTACCAGAAGAAGTAGGGATCCTAGATGGACCCCAAATATCACTATGAATTAATCGAAAGGGTTTAGAGGGAATATAAATACGGGAAGGATAAGAAGACTTGTGATGTTTAGCTAAAGCACACGCTTCACATTTAAAAAAAGATGGATCTTTATTGATGAATAACTTAGGTAACAATCGTTTCAAATAAAAAAAAACTAGGATGACCCATACGAAAATGCCATAACATAATATCTTGATCAGTAGACACAGACTCTAATTTATGAGGAGATTCTTGGGCAACCATACTTGAAGGCAGTCCATCTTCAAGATAATACAGCCCGTCGCACTCCCTAGCACTGCCAATCATCCTCCCCGAGTTCAGGTCCTGGAAATAGCACATAGAGGGTGAGAAAATAGCTAGACAATTTAGCTCACGGGTTATTTTGCTAATGGATAGCAAGTTACATGACAATTTAGGGACATGAAAAACTTTAGAAAGAGTGATAGGTGGAGAAATTTGAATTGTCCCTCTGCCAGCAATTGCAGCAAGAGAGCCATTAGCAATTTTCACTTTGTTATTCCCTGCTGCAGGTTCATAGGAAGAAAATAATTGCGAACAATGTGTCATATGATTCGTAGCCCCAGAATCAATGATCCAAGAACTCGAAGGAGTGGAGCAAACAAAAGCGGAAGGAATACCTTTCTGGGCTGGAGCAGGGGAAGAAGATGAATTAAGTGTGAATTGTGGAGAGTTAAAAAGCTTATACAGGTACTGTAGTTGTTCCTGAGTGAAAGGTAGTGGTTCTGGAGAAGCTGTTTTTTCTTCAGAAGTTTCAGCCATGGCAGCAGTAGCTCTCCCGTCCCCCTTCTTTTTTGTAGACGATGGTTTCCCATGAAGCTTGTAGCATTTATCCTTTGTGTGCCACAACTTCCCACAGAAATCACAAGAGAATGGCGTTTTCTTGTCACCTGCACCGTTAAAACGCTTTGAAACCAAAGCCATGTTGTCGCTCTCTGGAATTGAGGGAGCATGGTCATACATCACCCTTTTTCGTGCCTCTTCCTGGCGAAGTTCAGAAAAAACAGTCCTGACCGTTGGTAGGGGCTTACGGCCAAGAACTCTTCCTTTAGTTTCGTCAAAACTGTGATTGGCGCCAGCAAGAAACATGAAGACACGATCATCTTCCTCTCTGCGTTTTGCACGTACAAGATCTTTTGGATTTTCCCAAACGTCATCATTATAGCATAAATCCAACTCCTGCCACAGAGAGAGCATCTCATTGAAATAAGTAGTGATGTCTCTGTCACCTTGTTTAGAGAGCCAAAGTTTTTTCTTCAACTCAAATATTTGAGATGAATCGCCACGATTAGAGTATGCCTCACGAACAGCATCCCATATATCCTTAGGATCCATATACATGAACGGCCGACGGATCCGTTCGTCCATGGAATTGAGCAGCCAACCAGCAATCAGGGAGTTGGCAGATCGCCATCGCCGGAAAGAAGGGTCAGTTGGTGCAGGTTCTGGTTCTTCTCCAGTTAAAAAACCAAACTTGCCTCGTCCGTCCAAGGCAAGCTTGACCGATTGAGCCCATTCTGAATAGTTCTGACCATTAAGCCGGACCACCGTAATTTGTAAAGCCTGAAACGAGTTAACATCCAGACTGGAAGGAATTGGTGATAGGGTTTGTGAGTCAGATGATGGACTCGACATGCCAGAATCTTTGGACATGATTAACCAAAGGAATAGTTAAAAAAAATAGATCCGAAGAGAAGAGTGAAAAAAACTCAGAACGCAGTAGGGCAATTAACAATTAACAGGAATCAAACCCTAAGGCTCTGATACCATGTAGTTTTATATAATATGAATCTTCACTCTACTGAATTATAATAGATGTACAAAGACCCTATATATATACAGGGAGAATCCTCTTCAGAAGGAAACTCTATTCTCAGGAAACTAAATCTCACAGAATATGGAATCTAGATCTGAGAGAATAAGGAAACTAGATCCCTGAGAATAAGGAAACAAAATCAAAGATAATTACACATTATTTGACAGAATATCTATCTAAATCTACAGTATGCGAAATTTCATATAGCATTCTATGATTCTATCCAAGGTGTAAGATGTGCATAGCCATATAAGTAACTTGTCAACATGTAAGAGCTTATGCAATTAGTTAAAAGTGTTCGCTTTCCGTCTTGGCTAATTAATTATGAGATTGGATTGGATACCATGGTATTCTTATAGCAGAAAATATTCTCCTGCACAAAGAGGGACTGACGCTGGCCTGGTTTTATTGAAATAAATATACATTGGATACAAGTGCGATATACTCAGAGGCGTGATTGGGTTAGTAGGAAAAAAGGGTTTCATTTTTGTGATTGTTCTTGAATGTGTATTGATATGGCTCTTACATATTAGTACTTTATCCCTTTCTCTCTGATTGATTCACAAATCTCGGCTTGCCTCCTCCCTGACACCTAAGAAAGGTTGAGGATGTCTGCTGTGTGCAGGTCTGTTTCTACAGTGGAGCATGCCTCATTGAAGATGTTCAGCATTATGGCAAAAAGGTGAGACCGTTTTTGAATCTTCTATTTCTTCCTGCTACCAAAGAACTAAAGTTTGTTCCAAAAATTACCAAAGTGAGTTTGAACCGCAAAATGCTTTTTGAATTGCAATCAGATGCAAACTAGTGTATACTGTATACCTTTATATACATGGTTGTGTTGCTCTGTGTTTGACTAGTATGGCTCTTATTTAATAACACCTTTTGTGTAATTATGAGTGACCATTATGCCTATTATGCATCTTTGCCTTTAAATTTGCAATAAATATATATGATAGTTTTTACTTTTTAGTACATGCCTGTATTTGTCAAGAAAACAACAATTTTCTCTGCTTTCAATCATAAACCAACCTCTGTGCTATCCCATTAACTTTTCAATTAGCTACGAGAGTGTTAATATAATATTGCCTATTTCCTTATTTAATTATTTTCATCTTGAATGAGGTCATGAGTGGATACTATGTCATGAGACATATGGATAGAGGTAAAATACTCTTATTTTTCATTATATTTTCACAATATTGAGTGATATTATCATGTTTTGATTGTTTTCTCCTTCTTGATTATTATATAATTTTTAGGAAAACTAAATGAAGTGGTGGGACAACACATCAATATTATTTTTATTATTTTTAATTTAATCCCTCTCGGGTTTCACATAAAGTGAATATGGGTTTGTTATTTGCAAATTAAAGGTGGAAACTGATTTACTTTCTGAGAAAAATAAATGCATATTACGTAGTATTTACTTTTGTGTTTACTTGTATTGTTTAATCTGTAAGCGTTTAACATTCAAGATCCATTCAGGAAACTAGATATTAATGGGACACGAGAAGGTTGAACATCATTTTTCTGTGAAGTTACGAGCTTATGATATTATCGTTATTCAATATTATCAATATGCCAATATTATGAATATGCCGTAAGGTGATATGTAATTTTTTTAATACTGTAATCTAGAAACTTTGTAATGCTATATTTTACTATGATCTAAAATGTGGCTGTTATAAAATTTTTCGCTTTTCTCAGATAACTTACACTGTTGGAAGGGACCCACAGTACACTCGGAGTATTGGTTCAGAATCTCCACCTTGAATTACTGCCCCTGTTATTGTTCTGGTGAATAGAGATACAGCAAGTGGGAGTGAAATTGTTGCCACTGCACTTCATGATAAGTCATGAAGTCGCCAAATCACATGGACATTAATGGAAATGGTATTGAACCTGAATGCAGGAATTTCCCTACTTCGAATTAAGTCACCAAAGACCTGTTTGAATTTCACAAACCAAATAGAGGATAAAGCAAAATTTTCTTACGAATTTCTCTCTTGGATATCCAATCTGCTTGACTCCAGTTTAGGCTGGCTCGGATGTGGTTGTGTTAAACAAGGTTGTGTTTTACTAAAAAGGGGTATAATTCAGCTACAATAGGGATCTATATATTTCACCATTTCCCCCGGCTGGAGTTTCGTTTAGTCCATAAACATGTGCAAATAGCATCTCCAATTGAGACCACTCAACCGAACTCATCCACTGAAATAACACTTTCAAGGGAATCCTAATTGCAAGCCAAAGGAGATCCTTGAAGAAACTCATCACGGGACCAGCCACTATTCTTTCTTAAAGGAACTAGCCATTATTTGTTCTTTTATGCTAAGCTTGCTTGTATGATAGAGTGATATTGGAGGCGCCAACATTGCATCTGAATTTAGAAAGAACGGTAAAGGAAGAGAAAGGACAACGAGAAGAAGAGCTAGATAATCAGGATATTGGGTTGAAATATGAGAGCAGTTTTATGTGTTATATTTTTGGAAATCAGCTTTAATTTGGTCATATTGAAGGAAAAAGCCCTTATTATATTGCATTTTCATACTGTAATTGGAGCAGTTTTTGGACAACTTTTCTGAGGCATATTGATCAAAATTTTATTGGCTCATCCACAACAAAAGTCTCTAGGAGTGGTGTTTTTGTTGTCCATTTAAGTCTTTAATTTGAAGAGCCCCTTATGTCTACTTCCTCTCCAAATTTTAGCACACAAACAGTTTATTTTTATTTTATTTATTTTAGCACACAAACAGTTTATTTTTATTTTATTTAATACTTAGTTATTATAAAGTTTAACTATTTTAGGATGAGATTTTTACATGAATATTATCAAAAGTCATGGGAGTTACAAGAAAGTGACTTATAGCATGGATCACGTATGGGCATCATGTGATTAAGTTAGAGCAAAAAGTCATATTTTTGTTAATGGATTTTAAAGTAGTTATATTTGTGTAATTTTTTCTTTTAGGATATCATTGATAATCAAATACTAATTACCTCCTGCATCATTTATTGTAAGCAGCCACTGAAAAAGGAAACCCCAATCTATGTACATATTTACTTTTTGGAGTTAGGGGTTTGATTTATTGGGTGTATTTAAATTCATGTATTATTAACTTATCACTTTTTTGTCCAATTTTAATTATGGTCATATATTTGTCCATTAAAACTCTAGGAGGAGACTCCCCTATCGTCCAAAGATTAGAGAGGCAGAGATAGGGTTTGCGCGTTTGACACTCTCCAGCCGTCCAGGCCGTCCCTCTGCGGCTCGCCGGCTCTGCCAGTCTGCCCTCGGTCTCACTGTCTCGTTATTCATTATTCGGTCTCAATATCATATGAAGCGGCCGTTGTCCCTCTAGTTAGAGTTTTAGTTCTTCCGCCAATATGATAGATTGGGTGGTTTTTTTGATTTGGGGTTTTCTCCTGCGACGAGTTTTTGGTGCGAACAAGAAACAGAAACAACAATAGTGAAAGGATGACATCATCGAGTAAAGGTCTTGGACGAAGTTTGAGGTTAAAAGCTGGAACCATCTGGATTCAAGGTCATCTGTGATTGGTGGGTGAATGGTGGGGAAAGTGGAGGCTTGACAAAGAACGTGATGAATAAGAGGCAGAGGGAGGAAGAAACTACAGTACTGTCGGCTCGTCCTCCTCCTGAACCGCCGCTGGAGTATCATAAACAAATAGGAGGTTCCGGAACGTGGTTGGAAGTGGTGCTCTGGAAGGAGCATTAATTTTATTTTATTGTCTTTTTGCATTTTAAATTCTTTGATCATAGTGTTTGCTTTTTTTTTGTATTTTTTCTGTTGTAAGAGTGTGGATTTGGATATGGGTGATGAAAGGGCTGCGTTAACCGTCTTTGGCAGTTTGGCTCATTTGTGTCAATTAATGGATCAACGAGTTATATTGCTTCTGTCGAGGTGATAAACTCTGAGTCCGGTTCGAGGGATGACGGTTTTCAAGAGTCTTTTTGTCGGTTTGCCTACTATCTGAATGATGTGTTATCAATTTAAGTCTATTTCTTCCAAAAAAAACACTCTAGGAGTAAAATCCCATCCATTATTTCTTCTAAATAACCTCAAATAGATTAACTAACTCATATTAGTGAGTATTCAAATTTAGATCAAACACTAATATTATTACATAATTCGCATCTATATACATACACAATATTCTATTGTATAAATGGTATCCTCATTGATATGGTGATAAAAGTGTGATAGGTAATCCTCTTTTCTCGGTGAGTAATTTATGTTTTTTATTAGAGAGAATAAACGTCTAATTGATATATTTTGGAAAAATAAAATCCAATTTTGATGTATATGATTGATCATTTTTAAATCATTATTATCTCAAAAAAAAAAAACTATGGAAATCATTAAATCATTATTATCTCAAACTATGGAAAAAGCAATAACATCACCATCACATGTTGGTGGTATGACTCATCGATGAAAATCCGTACTCCATCAATAGTATCACCATCAGATAGTCAACTATTTTGGGTCAAACAGTTTCATTTTATTCACTTAATTAAGATATTAATTTTTATTTATGTTTTAATTTGATTTTGCAACTTTATAGATGTTTTAATACGAAGTATATTTTCTGAATATGTAAATTTAATTATTAAAATTGATTTAATTATTAATAGGAAGGATTTAACTTTAACGTTAGTTTTCAAAAAAAATGTTGACTTTGCAAATCAATTTAGAACGAAGGAAGTATTGTAAAATAATACGCCGAATGTTCTTAATGTGTAGATTATATAATTTAATGTGTGTTCAAAATATACAAAATAGTAAATCACTTAAGTAAATGACAAGTTTCCTTAAACTAATTAGTAATGTAATTAAATTAATAAGAAATAAAAGAAATGGAGTTTTCAAGAAAAAATGGTTTAACTTAGTCATATGCATTTGTTATTATAGGTAAAAAATTATTCACATGTTTCAGTTACGGAAAAAAATACGACTTCCGGATGTGACATAATGTAGATATTCCTCCGTTACTAGTTATTCATTCTTTATTTACTTTTGAGAATAGATGACTAAGAACCTGTACACATGCGGACAATAAGCTTTGCCGATTTTTATTCATGCCTAAAACTCTAAAAGTAGGCTTTCTCATGCATATACGGAAATTCTTAGTCAACTTAACATATCTCTACCGTCCACTGTGATTTAGCGTTAGCTTTTCACCCTTCTTCAATGTCGTTCCTCATCAAAGTCATTGCAGAATTAGATTATCTTCATTCATTCACCAATGTCAATGATTCCAAATTAATCTCTTCACTAAGAAGATCGATGCTCTTCTTTGCAAATAATTACTCAAAATATTTAAGTAGACCTCTACTTTTATATATGAGTATTTTTGTTACATGTCCTCTTATAGTTTTTAAATTCCGGTATAACTAGTATTTAATACGGAGTATTTTTTAATTAAATTTAACAAGTATTGGGTGATTAGTTGTTGAAGAATATTTTTAATTTTAGCCAAGTTGTTTTAGTTATCTTGCATTTATTTTTATAGAATAAATGTAATTATTAATTTAGGCTTTAAATGGACAAGGGCCACTTTAATGTTAGGGCCCAAGTCCCATCAAATAGGCTTTTGCGTTGTACCCTACGCATATAAATATGCACTAAAGGGAAAGTTACAGTATCGATCAATACAACCGCAGAGGACATTCAGAAATACTTTCCTTATTTTCACTAGATAGAAATTTCATCTGTTCGAATCATTTCTCAATCATTCTCAGTGGAATTTTCTTACTATTTGAATATATTTTTGTGCATCCATTACTATTATAGCTGTAATAACAAGACCTAGAACTTGAATTTCTTATATTTCCTTTATTATTACATACCTTTATAAATATATACTCCAGAATAATTATTTTTAAAGAATCTTTTGTCATGTACGGGTATTTTTTTTTACACTGACCCGCGGGCCGACCTGTTTAACTCACGGGTTAGGTGTGTTGGGTTAGAGTTGTAAAAATTCTGACCCGTCGTTAAACGGGTTGGCCCGACCCAACCTACATAAAGCAAAACTCGTCACGGGCCAAGTCAGGTTGGGTTGGGTTGACCCGTTTTGACATCTCTACATGTTTCAAATTATGTTTTACAGATCTTTTTGATTAATCGATTAATACACCATAATCAGTAAACATTTCATTCACTCTCACCAATAAGACAGAGCTCAAAATATTTATTCGATCATTCATTTTTATCAATAAGTTAAAGTCCAAAATAACTTATTAACTCATCCATTTTTATTTACATAAATATTTTTGTACATAAGTAAAAATGGGATTTTTTTGGAATAATCTTCTAAACTTATTATAGTATCTGATATTGTTAATGCCAACATCCTTAATTAATATGAAACTTGAACCTGCGACCACAAGGTATTTGGCTTATTTAACATTATATGTAACCATGTTATTCTCATTTTATATTGTTGATTTCTAAGCATGAAGTTAACATTAATGGAGAAGTCTATCTTAATCCTTTAAAGATTAAGAACACGTTTGATGATTCATGTTTTCGACTTATAAATCTTATTTGTCAATTTTTTTGACTAAATATGTAACTTTTCAATGTCTCCTATCTTAATCCTTTAAAGATTAAGAACACGTTTGATGATTCATGTTTTCGACTTATAAATCTTATTTGTCAATTTTTTTGACTAAATATGTAACTTTTCAATGTATTTTAGGAGCATGTTCAGGTGTAAACTGTAAAGATGTTTAAGTACCGTTTGGATATGAGGGTTTAGTCGGC